ACCTTTCCATTTGTGTAAGTGAAAATGCTTCTGCTAGTTGTGGTGATCGGATTTGAGAGGCTCCACTACAAGGGAAAAGGCCGATGATTTCCTTTTTGCGGAAGTCATGGCGCCGGTGATTTTTCGCGGAAGTCAAAGGCCTGTACCAGCGGAGTGGTTTCATCTTGAAGAAGATCCGAGGTTGGGAAGAGGAGGGCTGCTTCTAGTGGAACATTGGATCTGCACATAATCGGTAGTTTGTTGTAGCTCCTGGAGTAAGATCTACTGGTTCTGTATGATGAATTGGTTACGTTTCTTATTCTGTTAAGGGAGCTTTGTATACTGCAAATAAAGATAATTATGTTGTATTTGCTTAATAATAATTGAGTTGGCATATCTAAATTTTTATGTAAATTTTTTGAAAACAACTACTTAATTTAATTAAAAAGACTTTTTTTAGAATTTTAACATATTCTTTAATATTTAATAATTATTAATAAAAAATCCCTACAAATAGTTATAATGTTAATTTTCTGCTACGTTCTTTTAAGTCAAAAATCAGATTTAACTATTCGCGAAATAACGTATCCTTGTGCGTTATTTCGAAACAAAAGAATTTAATGTACGTATATCAAACTCACTAATGTATGGGCGTTCTCAAATTTCAATCCCGAAATGATTTACTGGTGATCGTACAACTGCAATTATATTTATATAAAATTTTTGATGACAATTTGAATATGCCAATTATAATGTAATTTAAGTTTCCCAAACGCTATTCTCGATGCGATTAGCTAGTAAATTTAACGATGCTCATTTATTAGACTCAATCAAAATATTATCGAATGCCGTCGCTAGTAGGTTTATGTCTTCATTGATTTTTGATTGTTGTTCGAATTGGCAAAATAGTAAAATTTGTTGCAAAAAATGGCAGTCATTCGTAATTGTTTTTTTGAGGCTTTCTGGTATTTTTTTTTTATTGTTTATAAAAACTTTTAGTGTGATTAATAAAATAATAATTCGTTGATGATTAGATTGTTTCATGAAACAATTGCTTGAATGATACTCAATTAATTGTAAATTTTGACAAACTAGATATATAAAAAAAAATGGATTGCAGCGTAAATTGAAATGACAAATTCACTTAACGTTTTGTATTAATAAAAATATTTTATTTACGTATATAATAAACTTTATCAACTTACGATTAATATTTAAATATTCATCACAATGACAAACGCACTCGGCCCGCTTAAAATATTTCCACTAAGTAAAATTTATTCTCATTTTTTAACCTATTGATTAAAGCGTTTGAGAACGCTCTATGTTATGTAAAATGTGCATTGTTTAGGGACACACATGATTTGAACCAAATATGATACAATTTTTGAAACAACGCTTATGAGCATTATTTTGTAACTTTATGGTACCCAAAGTAATTGTAAAATTTTACTAAGACAGGTTTTTTTTGTATTTTAATTAAAATTTGGATTTAATAGTCATTACTGTACAATTATCTATATAATCACAATCAGCTTTTTTTATATTTTAAAAATACCTCTATATAGTCACAATTGCATTATAATCACTATCATTTTTTTTTAGAATTTGTTAAAGAAAAAAAGTTAGTGTTGTATTCGGATTCAGAGACCATACACATGTCCCGATCCTAAAGCGTATAGCATCTTGATGAACTTTTGTAAACGGGGTGTCTGCAGCAATAGACATATCATCTCCAAGGATAATAGCAATGCTATGATGTTCCATAAGAACGTACGTACGTACTATGTAAACCAAATTTCTGAATCCAGTGTCACTGCCACCCGTGGGTTTTTGTATACCGTTTCGTATAGTAACACGCTTCCCCTGTTGGCGATTGATGGATCCATACCGAGGTACTCGTAACCTCCCTAGTTATAACACCCGGTACCAAATAGTGATTTATCTATTCTAATAGCTTAATGATATATCATTTTATTTAATTCTCACTATATAAGGTAAAATGGGGTATTATGGTCATATTAAGCTAAAAATTATTATATCTCGTGATCTATCGATCCAAATTAA